TTCACCGCCAAGGCGATGATGGCCATGGGAATCCCCAGCAACAGCAAGGCCACCCCACCCAGAGCGAGATCCATCAAGCGCTTCAGTAGTCCATCAATGCCGATCAAAGGACTTTCAAAAACGCTGACTGCCGGCAGTCCGCTGATGCTCGTCCATCGCGAAGAGAGTAATTCGAATACAAAGAAGTCCGGCACGATATAGACCGATGCCGTCGTATCGCTGAGCCGCTCGAGCAATGCTCGGATTCGTTTCTCGGCCCGCATGGGGAAAGTAATATAGATCGTCTCGATCGTGCCGTTATGGGCCTGGGCAACCAGCTCGTCGACGTTACCTAGTCTTCCACCCACTTCCTCAGGCAACTCCGGCGTGCGGTCGAGCGTGCGGTCTTCGAAGAATCCTCGCAGAATGAGTCCCAGTTCAGGCGAATCCAAGATGTTTCGCCCCAACTGAATCGAAAGCTCGTTTACTCCGACGATTGCACAGCCCCGACTGTTGTACCCGCGACTTCGCAAGGCCTGCAGTGCAATGCGGACGGCGATGCGGAACAAGCCAATCAGCACCGGCGCTCCCACGATCCACATCACGATGGAGAGTCGCGAAAAGTCATGGGTGTACTTGGCTGCAAAACCAACCACGAGCAGCACCGGAATTGTGGTGGCCCAAGTGATCAGCACGCAAAACAGTTCGTGCTCTGCCCCTGCACCACGCCAGCTTCGATACAAGCCAGTGGCTTCGGCAAGAAGGTAAAAGATGATGACGGCCGCCGCACCGACCGCGAAGTACTCCTGATTCGCCATGGCCGGGCCGAACAGAATTGCCAGAGACAACGCCGCGGCGATGGAAAGACCGTCACCAATTCGGTGCGCCAGATGCAGCAACGATAAACTTTGCGTTCCAATGCTTTTCTTCTGCGGCATTTCCGGCCTCTAGATCCCTGAGAACGGGGCCCTCGTCGCGAGTGCTCCTTCGGCGGCTAGGTGTGGACTCAGGGAAATATAGGTTACGCGTGGTACCACAATCGCTGGCGGCAGGAATGCTTAAACAATGGATCCAAAGCAAGTTGCGCTGCGACTGCAAGCCGGAAGCCTGAGGTGCAGTTCCGCCCGAAGAACAGGCAGAATACGAATCGAGACTGGCACCCAGGGCCGCATAACCGTTACGACTGAAATCAGCAACGAATCAAGATTCGGTCTTCGGCGAACTTTCGTCGTCCTCTTCACCGGCCAGTTTGATGGGCGGCAAGTCGGGCGGCGGCGTTCGTTGGACTTTTGCCGGCTTGGGCGGCGGTTCGGCGACGGTTTCCTGGCGGGGGGCATCCTCAATTGAGACCGCACTTTCGTCTCTCCCCGCCCCAGGCTTGTCGGGCATCACCCGCTTCATTTCGCGGCGGCGTTTCTTGAGTTCCTCGCGTACCGCTTCGGCCAGTTGAGCGGTGGGTGCAAACAGATAAAGCTCGCCTTGATCAACCACCGCCTCGGGCGAAGGCATCGTGTCGGCGTGCTCCTCGCAAGTGGACATAATTATCCGCACTTGTTCGGGCCAGCACTTAAGGTAGATGGCAATAACACCTCCAATGAGTGCCACGAATGCCACGGTCAAGAAAAAGGCCGTCATCCATTTGCTGGCCAGCCACAGGGCCGGAATCGCAGTGCCCAGAGCGATGCCAACGATGAGCGTCGGATATTCGAAACTATGCAGTTCGAGACGCCACTCCCGCTTGCGAAGGTTCTCAGTACTTCCGCAGTCCCAGCATTGTTTGGGAAGAGCAAGTTCCCACGTGTCCCGGTGCTTCGCTTCTCGGGTCCAGTAACGAACTTCGCGTGCGCGATCCCCAGGGTTAAGCAACACCGGGATCCACACCTTAATGTTCAACCACGTCTGCTGGAGATAAGGACGAGCGTAGGGCCAATACCGCGCCACGAACCCGTCTTTTTTCTCCGCAACGTCTTGTTGCGTAGGCGCAACTGCGTCCGATGATCTCGCTTCAGTCGATTCTTGCTTGGGAGATTCCATACTGCCCATCGTAGCCGCCAGAACCAAAAGCCGTCCAGCGGGCACGCACCTGGCTTTTCAGCAGGGGAAAACTTAATTCAAGCGGGAATTAACGCCCGTTGGGATCGACCCAAATCGGAATCGGTCGGTGGGGCAGTGTGGGATATCGACGAGATGGAGAGGTGACGGGAGCCCGATCGACTTCGGGAACCGCTCGTGGCCGGGTATGCTCGGCCGGGGGAAGACGGTAAATCTTTTCACCCGACCCCACCGGGTTGAGCTTCGGTTCACCAGCAATCGACTGAATCGAGACCGAACCAAGGGGGTTACGGCTAGATATCGTGTGGCCCACTGGATTTTGAGCGGGAGCCTGCTGCACCACAACACCTTGCTGCTCCTCGTCCCAAGGCCATTCCACATCGACGAGACGTCGCTTCGGCTTCAGGTTCGATGGCTTGAAGTTCTGTTGCTGTGGCTGGGCAACGATTGCTTGCGCTGGTTCAAAATCGTTGTACGGACCTGTAATGACGCCCGTGAGAAGTTGCTGCTGCGAGCGCCAATACTCAACGGCGTTATCATCCGCCGGAAGATTCAACAGCAGCGTGGGAATTTTGCGATCTCGCGAAGTCCAACTGGCCAACGAGCCTGAGGGCACCTCCAGTGAAGACTCGACCCAAGGTAAATTCGTCTGTGTGGCCAGAGATTGATTCCAACTTTCGTCGGGTCCGAGCGTTCGAATCCACCCCTGCTCTCCATCGCCAAGCAAGATGATGACTCGGGTGGGTTTCCAGGTCTCAACCAACATCGCCACCCAGCGGCTTTCCGGCTCACTCAATGGCTGGCGCCCCCCCAACCAGTGAGAACCGACGGGAAGCTTACGCCAGTCGGTACTGGCAAAGTTGCGATCAAGGTCTACCCGTCGAGCGTTCGTCACCGCACGGGCGACACGGCCATCGGGATTAACGTCGCGTAAGATCAGCAACGACGCCCCATTGGAGGAGGCCGCTCGCTCACTGGCGAAATGGGCCAACGATTCGGCCACTTGAACCGATGCGTTCCGAGTGCCGCGGAAGCCGGCCACGATCATCACGCGGTCGGCACCTCCGGCGATTTCAACGTGCTGAAGCGGACGTCCTTCGGCCGACTTTCCGGAGGTTTGCCAGTTTGGCCCGTCAGCCGCCGCGGCCGGCGCGCAAGCCAAGACAAAGCTCAGGGCTGCGATGCTGAAAGCCGGGAATCGTGGCATGCCGCTTCTTGCTCCGCCAAACGATGTGCAGAGAGTCCGCGAAAACATAGCTCACGCTGGGCGCCCGTCAAACGACTACGCCAACGATCGAAGCACCGCTAGGTCATTGCTGCTCGAATGATCGATGTGACCCGCACGACCGGAACGGATTCGGCAATTGAATCAGATTCACCCGCCGTGCAACTGGTCCAAAATCCATCGCACAGCGGTGGCCGTCATGCTGGGGGCCATGGCGGGCATCGACTCGGTCATCGAACTCACCTGTTGGGGAGCCAAGGGTAAATGCAAGAAGCAGCTCTGCGTCCGCATGCCTTCTTGCTCGGCAAAGAAATGGCTCCAATACAACATGGCGTTGCAGAGATAGGTGCCTGCATGAAACGAAACCTTGGCCGGAATCCCCTCCTCCCGCAGTGCTGTCGCCCAATCGCTCAGGGGCAACGAACTGCGATACGCCACCGGACCGTCAACTTCAAGCGGCTGATGACTGCCTGCCTCCTCGCCGATCCCGCTGTAGGCATTTAGCCCAATGCTTTCCAATTCAACTCCCGTGGCCTTCGGCGATTGGCCCAGGTGCAGGGCATAATCGACCCCGGCATTCAGATCTTCGATCAGCATCTGACGGGCCGCCTGTAGATCGACCGGGTAGCGTCGCGTGGTCACCCGCGACACATCGGGAAGATCGCGAATCAGCTCCACCATGCAAAGCCAACTGGAGTTGTCTTTCCAGCGGTCGTATGGGCCGAAGGCCGTGACGAGCACCGTTTTCGACCGTGCGGATTTTCCGGGACGCTGGGGCAGGCTCATGATGGAAAACTCCCGGACTCGTTCACGATGGCCGCTACTTCTTTGGCTTCATCATGGCTTGCAGCATATCCCACTGTTCGCTACTCACGGCTTCCAAACCATTGAACATGCCAGCTCCGCGGAGCCATTCACCCCCGTCGATCGTTACACAATCGCCGTTGATATAAGCCGAGTAGTCGGAGAGCAGGTAGGCGGCCAGGTTGGCCAATTCCTGATGTTCGCCAAGACGGCCAGTCGGGTTCTTGCTCTTGTAGTCGAACGTGTCGGCTAGTTCGTCGGGCATCAGCCGCGACCAGGCACCCTCGGTGGGAAATGGCCCGGGGGCGATGGCGTTCAGGCGGATCTTGTACTTGCCCCATTCCGAAGCCAACGACCGCACCATGGCCAAGGCTCCGGCTTTCGCCACAGCCGAAGGCACCACGTAGCCCGAGCCCGTCCAGGCATAGGTGGTGAGAATATTTAGGAACACGCCAGGGGTCTTGTCTTCAATCCATTTCTTCCCTACGGCCAGCGTGCAGTTGTACGTGCCTCGCAATACGATATCGACCACCGAGTTGAAAGCATTGTACGAGAGCCGCTCGGTAGGGCAGATGAAATTACCCGCGGCATTGTTCACCCAACCGTGCACTTGCCCGAATCGGTCGATCGCGGAGGCCAGCAGGGCTTCGACCTGCTCGGGCACGCGAACATCACAGGGCTGAGCCAACACACTTCCGCCGGTTTCAGCCTCGAGCCCTTTGGCCGTTTCCTGCAGAACTTCAGCCCGACGTCCGCAGATGACTAGATTCGCCCCCAACTGCAACAGGCACTTCCCCATCGACAGCCCGAGCCCGGTACCACCGCCGGTGATAACAATCGTCCGCCCGTCGAAAGTCCCTTCTCTGAGCATCATGTCGGTGTGCGAGTGAGTCATAGCTTGATTCCGAGAGGTTCAGTTGGATGATGAACTGGTCGAGTGCTAATCCTTAATTGCTTGGTCATCGACGATGGCTTGCCACAGCTCGGCGATGCCTTCGTTCTTCAAGGCCGTGACGGGGAGAATAGGTACCGGCTTAGCAGTGGGCACCAGCGTAAGCGACGAGGTGAGTTGTTGACGAACTCGCCCCGCCCCCGGCAAGTCGGACTTGTTCACCACGACTAAGTCGGCTACTTCAATTAGTCCGGCCTTCTCCCATTGCACTTCATCGCCGGTATTGGGAGTGACCAGCAGTACTAAAGTGTCGACAACCTTTCGCACGGCGGCCTGATCTTGCCCCACGCCGACCGTTTCGACCAGCACCACGTCGAAACCAAATGCAGCCAGCCAGGGTAGCGAAGGTTGAATTGCATCAGACAGCCCACCCAATGCCCCACGGGTGGACAAACTGCGAAAGAAAACCCCGTCGTCAGCCGGGTCGAATTCAACCCGAATCCGATCGCCCAGCAGCGCCCCGCCCGAGAGCGGGCTTTGTGGGTCGGAAGCCAACACGGCTACTTTCAACCCCTGGCTTCGGAGGTATTTGATGAGCGCCCCCACCAGGGTGCTCTTCCCCGCTCCGCCACTGCCGGTGATACCCACCACCCGGCAGTTATGGTCGGTTTTAGGTGGCTCTGGCGCAGTGCCGTTCTCAACTTTGGACAGGATTTCGGCCAGCGCGCGGCGCTGCCCGGAGGCGAATCGTTCAAGAAGATCGTTGCTGGAATCCATCATGGCGCTCGATCTTATCTTCGCACCGGCAACGAAACAACCGACGGCAAGCGGCGAGGCGGCTGTTATGGTTTTTCGTCCAACCAGGTCTCAAATCGACTTTGTGCGATGTCTTCCTCGGCTGGAAGATTCAACTGCAGCCAGTTTTCATCGCATCGTGCAGTAACACGCACGATCTGCTCGGTCTGGGGATGCTTGAACTGCAGCATCCGGCCATGAAGGGCAATGGCCCGCTGGCGGATGTCTTCGGTCTGAGGGCCGAACGCTACGGGCGAGCCATACTGCTGATCGCCCAGCACCGGGAGCCCTCGGCTTGCCGCCTGCACGCGAATCTGATGGGTCCGCCCGGTTTCCAGGGTGACTTCCAGCCACGTGCCGAAAGACCCCGTGGCAAGCGCTCGATAGTGCAGAATCGCGATGCGACCCTCGGGATGATCCTCGGAGACCACCTCGGCTCGCGCTTCGCCGGGTACTTTCCGCAGGTAGTCGGTCCAGGTGCCTGTGGGTTCTTCAACTTCGCCTGAAACGCAGGCCCAGTACATCTTGCGAACCTGACGTCGCTCGAACTGGTGCCCCAATCTTTTGGCCACCCGAACATTTCGGGCGAACAGCAACGCTCCGGAAACAGGACGATCGAGCCGGTGAATCGGAACCAGGTAGATATCGCCTGGGGAGTTTTCACGCGTCTGGATGAAAGCTTTGAGATCGAGTTCCAGACTGCCGATTCCGCGTGGCGCTTGCGTTGAGACTCCGTTCGGCTTTCGCACCACGATGCAGGGGCCATCTTCGTATAGGATCTCAGTTTCGGAGGACATACTACGCTAAGCCTTGAAGCACGACACCAAGTGTTTGTCGCCCTCGAGTCGAGGTGGCCTTTCAGCACAACTGGGGTCGCCAATCGGGCAGCGGTCAATGAACGGGCAACCAGAATACACACGATCGGGCGAGGGGATCTCGCCTTTCAGTTTCGTTCGCTCGCGTGTGCGTTCCACCGGCGGATCGGGGATGGGCACCGCCGAGAGCAAGGCCTGCGTGTAAGGGTGCTTAGGATTGGAATACAACTCGTTCGTATCGGCCAACTCGACGATGCGACCCAGGTACATCACGGCCACGCGATCAGAAATGTGTCGCACCACCGACAGATCGTGGGCGATGAACACATAGGTCAGGTTGAACTCGTCCTGAAGTTTAACCAGCAGGTTGACCACCTGGGCTTGAATCGACACATCGAGCGCCGACACCGGCTCATCACAAAAGATCAGCCTCGGGTTTACGGCCAGTGCCCGAGCGACACCGATCCGCTGTCGCTGCCCGCCAGAGAACTCATGCGGGTAGCGGTTTAAGAACTTAGGGTCCAGCCCCACAGTGTCCATCAACCGCATCACTTCCAAGGGACGTTCGCGACGGGGGCGAAGATTGAAGATGTGCATCGGCTCGGCAATCGTACGGCCCACGGTCATCCGGGGGTTCAGCGATGCGAATGGATCTTGAAAGATCATCTGCATCTGCTGGCGGTACTCGCCCATCTCCGATTCATCTAACCCATCGATCGGATGCCCGTCGAAAATTACCTCACCGGAGGTGGGCGGTATCAAATTCAAGATGGCCCGAGCCGTGGTCGACTTTCCGCAGCCCGACTCGCCGACAAGTCCCAACGTTTCTCCTTCCTTTACCGAAAACGAAATCCCGTCCACCGCGCGGATGACCGTGGTCTCACGTTTCCAAATCGGCCCATGCCGCTGTGGGAAATGGACCTTCAAGTCGCGGACCTGCAACAGGGGAGCGGGACGATTCCCGGTGTCGGCAGACACTGCGGCCGTGGCCGTGGGGCCTTGAGGTTGTCCGGAATCACTCATGGCCAACCTCCTGCGTCACCGGTGCAGTGGTGACGTCGACATAGCAACGAATATGCCCACCGTGCGGTGCAGATGTGCGAGGCGGTGCCTCAGCAAAGCACTGCTCGATGGCAAAGGGACATCGGGCGCGGAACGAGCAGCCTTCGCCGAGTTCGGTGAGGTCCGGCGGCTGGCCTTCAATCGGCGTGAGTTCGGCTTCCGACTTTTCGTCGATCCGTGGAATCGACTTCAGGAGGCCCAACGTGTACGGGTGCCGTGGATCGGCGAACAAAGCATCAACGCCGGCCTCTTCTACGAACCGCCCGGCGTACATCACATTCACACGGTGGCAAGCGTTAGCCACTACGCCAAGATCATGGGTGATGAGAATGATGGCCGTGCCCATGTCCTGTTGGATTTCCCTCATCAGGTCGAGGATCTGGGCCTGTATCGTCACATCCAGTGCGGTCGTCGGTTCGTCGGCAATCAACAGGTCGGGGTCACACGAGAGGGCCATCGCGATCATCACCCGTTGCCGCATCCCGCCGGAGAATTGGTGGGGATAGTTGTGAATCCGCTTGCCCGGCGAGGGAATGCCGACTCGATCCAGCATGCGGATCGCGTGGTCGAGGGCCTGCTTCCGTGTGTGCCCCAGATGCAATCGCGTCATCTCGGTCAACTGCTGGGCGACCGTGAGGTAAGGGTTCAGCGAGGTCATCGGATCTTGAAAGATCATCGCGATCCGCCGCCCTCGAATCTTGGAGAGTTTCGGCTCGGGCAGCTTCAGCAAGTCTTGCCCGTCGAACATGGCCGTACCCGAGGCAATGTTCCCAGGCGGTTTGGGCACCAATCCCATGATGGCCAGATTAGTGACGGACTTACCCGAGCCCGATTCGCCGACTATGCCGAGGGTTTCTCCGCGTTCGATCGAGAACGAAATGCCATCGACGGCCTTCACCAGCCCGTCATCGGTCTTGAAGTGAACCCCCAGGTTCTCGACTTGTAGCAGCGGTTCGCCCATCGGCTCTTCTCTAACGGTTCTTTAAACGTGGATCCAAGGCGTCGCGAAGCCCGTCGCCCAGAAAGTTCAAGGCAAACAGCGTGATCCCCAATGCAAAGCCCGGATACACAACCAACCACCAGTAGATCTTCACCGGGGTGATCACCTTGAGCCCCTCATTCGCCAACAGCCCCCAGGAAACATCCGGCGGCTCGACGCCCAGCCCGAGAAATGACAGGAAGGCCTCAAACAGCATCACACGGGGGATGGTCAATGTGAGGTAAACGATGATCACGCTAAACAGATTCGGCACCAAGTGCAGGAAGATGATGCGAACGCGGTTCGCCCCGATCGTACGTGCCGCCTCGATGAACTGTTCCTCTTTCAGAGAGATGATCTGCCCACGCACCACACGGGCCATAGTGAGCCAATAGATGGCCCCCACGACAAAGAAAAAGATCGTGATGCGATCGATGCCATGATCGAGCAGCCACGTTTTGATCGAATCTTCGCTCAAGATTGTGATGAGAAAGATGACGACGAAGATGAACGGAATGGCGTATAGCACATCGACGATTCGCATCATGAAGTTGTCGATGCGTCCGCCCAAATAACCGGAGATCGCCCCGTAGGAAACGCCGATCACCAGCGAGACCAACGTGGCGACCACACCCACCAGCAGCGAAATGCGTGCGCCCCAAAACAGACGGGCGAGCAGGTCTCGACCAAGTTCGTCGGTACCACAAACAGACCCCAGGGCTTTTTCACCAAAGATGGCCACACGAATGCGAGTGAATAGCCGGGTAAGGCGATTGACCTTTCCGTACTGACGATCGAGTTCCTCTTTGAACTGCGTGTCCCACTCCTCCGAACCCGGCTCGGCATCTCCCAGGTCGAAATGGTCGACCCAAAGGTTCTCTGTGGTAGGTGCCTGAAAAGTGCGAGAGGTATCAACCTGTCGCGGCGATTGCAGCGGCAACATCGGCGTAAAGAACGCCAGGAGGCTGATCACTACCAAGATACCCAGCGAAATCATCGCAGCCGGATTACGGCGTAGACGCCGCCAGGCATCGCGACCCAACGAGACACCTTTGATCCGCTGCGCTTCGGCGAACAGACGCTCGTACTGACGGAGGTCTTTGTCCGATTCGATGGATGATGGGAGGGCTTGCTGCTCGCTCACGGATTACTCCAGTTTCACCCGTGGATCGAGATAGCTGTACGAAATATCGACGATGAGATTCATCAAATAGATCAGCGTCGCATAGAGCATGATCACGCCCATGGCCAACGTATAGTCGCGTTGGGTGGCGGCGTTGATGAAATGAACTCCAATGCCGGGGATGGCAAAGATTTGTTCGACGACCAGCGAACCGGAGACAATCCCGGCGATGGCCGGCCCCAGGAAAGAAACCACCGGCAGCAAGGCGCCCTTCAACGCGTGGCGAACCACAACCGTGGGGGTCTGCACTCCTTTGGCATAGGCCGTGCGAATGTAATCCTGATGCAGCACATCGAGTAGGCCCGTGCGAGTCAACCGGGCGATGTATGCGGCATAAGGGGCCCCCAGGCAAAACCCGGGGAGAACCAACTGACTGAAACTTCCCCAGCCGGCCGCCGGGAAGATGGGCCAGATGAACACAAAAAGAATGATCAAAATGCCGGCGATCACAAAGTTAGGCAGCGCGATGCCGATCGTGGCGATCGACATTAGGCTGATGTCGAGAACCGATTGCCTGCGAACCGCGGAGATAATTCCCGCGGAGAGCCCCATCGTCAAAGCGATGAACAACGCCACCAACCCAAGTGTGGCTGAAATCGGAAACCCCTGTGCGATAATCTCATTGACCGTAAAGTCGGCCAGTTTGAAGCTGTAGCCCAGGTCGAGACGGACAAAGTTCCACAGCTCGCGGATGTATTGCTGGGGCAAAGGTTCATCGAGGTGGTAACGCGCCTTAATGTTCGCTTCGATCTCGGGCTCGAGTGCACGTTCACCATCGAGCGGCCCCCCCGGCACGGCGCGCATCAGAAAGAACGAGACGGTGAAGACAACCCACAACGTGATCGCCATCCACACGAGTCGGCGGAGGATGAAGCTCGTCACTTAATTCCCTCGGCTTCCAGCACGCGCTGCTTCTCCTCTTCATCGATGCGCATCCCAACATAGGGATGTACGTCCTGTACGTTCGGGTAGTACCCTTTGACGTACGGCCGAACCATGCCGGTTGTAACATAGTTGTAGATGGGAATCACCGGCAGTTCGTCCATCAAGATCTGTTCAGCATCGTGCAGCATCTGGAATCGCTTCTCGGAATCGCTCTCGCGAGCAGCCTCGGCGATGAGTCGATCGTACTCAATGTTCGACCAACCCGTCTGGTTGTTGGCCCCATCGGTGACGAACATATCTAGGAACGTGTTGGGGTCGAGGTAATCGCCAATCCACGCGGCTCGGGCAACCCAATACTTCATCTGGCGTGAATTACTGAGATAGACCGCCCATTCCTGGTTCTGGAGTTTGACATCGATGCCCAGGTACTTCTTCCACTGCGATTGAATGAGTTCGGCAATCGCTTTGTGGGCCTCGTTTGTGTTGTACATGATCTCGAATGAGATGGAGAACCCTTTGCCGTCAGCATAGCCAGCCTCGGCCAGCAGCTTGCGGGCCCCTTCAGGGTCGAACCCGTGACATGTGGCCTGGGTGTAACCTTTCACCCCAGGTGGCACGAAGCTGAGCGAGGGTTTTTGCCCAGCCTTGGTCACCTTTTCGACCAACTCGCGGCGATCAATCGCCATGCTGAGTGCTTTGCGAACACGCGGATCGTCAAGCGGGGGCCGTTCGGTGTTGATGCGATAGTAGTAGGTCCCGAAAAACGGCGTGGGCTGGAAGTCAGGGCGGTCCTGGGCGAGCAGCTCGGGTGTGATCGTCGCCGGAACCTGGGTCACCCGATCCATCTGCCCTGTGAGGTACATATTCATCGCCGTCGTCTCCGACTGTACGGCCAGAACGTCGACGACGTTGAAATGCACGTTCTCCTTGTTCCAGTACGTCGGGTTCTTCACCATGCGTATTCGATCGCGAATCCGACGGCTTTCCAACAGAAACGGTCCGTTGCAGATCAAATTCTCAGGCTTCGTCCACTCGGGGAACGGGTACGTCTCCACGCAGAGCTTGTTCACCGGGAATAACGGGTAAAATCCCAACAGGCTGAGGAAATACGGGGTCGTGCTTTCGAGTTTGATCTCTAGCTTATGGTCGCTGAGGGCATGGATCGCCACTTCATCGAAGTCGAGCAACAACCATGCGTAGTTCTCAGCACCGTCTTCAGCTTTGGTAGCCGTCGTATCGCCCAACTTGCGAAACTTGCGGCTCTCCCCGTCGACTTCGACCGTGTAGGTTCGCACCACATCGCCATCGATGTCGGCCGCCGACTCATCGCCGATTTCATCTTGTACTGGAAGCGGTGGATCGACGTCGACCAGCGTGCCGTGAAGAATCGTGCCTGGGGCTCCGGGCAACGCCCCTTTGGGCCTCTCGTAAAGTTCGACTTCAACCCGATCGCCAACTTGAACGATGCCCTCGGTGAAGTCGCGTGCCCGATCGACGTAGAACAACTGGTACGCGTATTCAGCCGCGGTCTTGGGATGCAGAAATCGACGGAACGAGTACACAAAGTCGTCGGCGGTCATCGGCGTACCGTCCGACCAACGGGCTTCCTCGCGGATGTTGAAGGTGTAGGTCAGTTGATCGTCGGAAATTTCCCAACTCTCGGCGACACCGGGAATCGGGTGCAGATCTTCCGGGTCCCAATTCACCAAACCTTCGAATAGCCCGCGAATTACGCGCCCCTCGGGTGCACCTGTAACAATCGCCGGATCGATGGTCTTAATTTCTGTATTGTTCGAAAAGGTGTAGTCCGCCGGGGGAAGTGTGCCGAATGACACGGCCCACATCAGCGCGGCCAAGAGAGCCACCAGAATCGCTAACGGGACGAAATTGCGTGCACTCGGAAGCATCGATTTCTCGTAGATAAGTACAACTTTACTGGGTCCAAGTTACCCAACGTATCCAAGGCAATCGTAACGGCTTCCGTCGCTACAGCAACGCCGTCTCTCCGCTGAGCATGATACCGAGAAACGAACTCCCCCTGGACCTTTTTTCTTGACCCTAGATATCAGAATGTCTACTTTGGCGGCGAAGCCTGATTCTTTCACTTTCACTAAGGACCGCTAGTGACGGCTGCGTAAGTTCAGCGACTTACGCCTTCATTCGAGCTCTTCCTCGACGTGCCGTTGGTTCTGCGCCGCGCGACAAGTAAGCCGGTCCCGCGATTTCCCTGAAAACCATACGCATCTCGGCACCCTGAGGTTCTGCCAGACAGGCCGAAAGTGCTCGTCAGAGCCGTCTATCGCACGGGAGTTCGCTGCACTCCGTCAGTTTCATCCGACCAGATCTATCACTGGCAAGGCTGTGGAGCCGAGCCGGGGCACTCGAACCACAGAAAGGAAACTGCAAATGTTTCGCACAGTATCCGCCGTGATCGGCATCCTCCTCATCTTCACGACGACACCGGGCTGGACCGCTCCTCTGCGAATTGGAGTCTATGACGAAGAACGCGGTGAGGACTTAGCTTTGGATGGGACTCCATTCGGGGATGTGGTCGAGGGCTATCTAACAGCTAACATCCCAGAGGGAGACTTTATCGGTACTCCCACACTCACGCCTGAGTTCCTGGCCACCGTCGATATGGTGTTATTGAATACTGCACAATCATTCGGCGATGCAATCTCTCCTCTGACTACTGAAGAATCAAGCGCTCTGCTCGATTTCATCAAGTCTGGAAAAGGGGCGATCATCGTTGCCGACGGCAGCTTCGGAACCGAAGCACAAAGTTTTGTTGATCCTTTTGGAGCTTCAATTGGAACTTCTGGCTCCGGCGCACCATCTCCTTCAACCATGATCGACCCACTCTCCAACCCGATCTCTAACGGTCCCTTCGGATTGATTACCGACTATTTCACCGAGCGGGCATTCTTTGGCGACTTAATTCCTTACGAAACGGGCGTTTTTAGAAACATAGGTCCGTATGCCATTCCGCTAGGTAAGGTCGATGCGTCAAATGAGATTTCGATCTCCTATATTCCTGAAAACGGAATCATGCCGGGGAGCGGTCGGGTGGTATTCTTCAGCGATGCTGATACCGGTATGGGTAGCATCGAAAATGATGATGGCTTACTGCTGAATGCAATCGCGTACGCCGCCGTCCCGGTGCCAGAACCCCATTCACTGGCCCTGGCGGGTATGGGATTCCTGGCCTTCGCCACGGTGGCTACTCGGTCGCGGGGGAACAAGTTGGCGAAACGAAAGTTTCCCGGCAGGGATCGAGTGGGAAAGTAGCGGTCGATTGCAAAGCCATCGCTAACCCAAGATGGCGTGCAATCGCCATCATGCCACTGTGGCGACGGGAGCCCTTGAAACCAAGGGGTTTACACCCACCTGTGGGCCATACGCCATCCACCGGTGCTAGCCCCGACTTTGGGTACAATGTGCCCGAATTCCTGAAATAAATACTTCTACGATTCTCACTCTGTCGGTAAAATTTTGGGAACGAAGCGTTCGCTTCAGATGACCTCCACGCGGAAAGGGTCGCAGTCTGCGATTCTGTGGAGTTGGGTCGAGACAGGAAAGCTCATCAATAGAACTGTCGAGTCGGTTGCACGAGAGAATCGGGCGCCGCGCCTCCTGAAGGCGGAAGGTCCGTGGGCCTGCGCGGTGAATGTATTCTCTCCTTTGGTTGATCCGGCAGATCGCCGAGAAAGACTCTCATAGCCCCCAGCTGCAATGTGGGGAGATCGCCTTTTGCGAATGGTCGTTACCGGTAATGAAACCGGGGGCAACAACGCGCAAGGTCGCCAACCTCTCAGACGGCGATGCGCACGGTGAAAGGTAAGAGGAACTATGATCACGGATTTGAAGCGCGAGGATGCTGGCGAAGTCGACTTTCCCGACGTTCGCGACACGTTGATGCAGGACATGGCAGTGGTGTTCAAACTGCTGGCCGATCGAACCCGACTGAGAATCTTGGTTCACCTGGCCCGATATGGCGAAGCCCATGTCCGCTCGCTGTGCGAGTTGGTCGACCAAAGCCAGCCCGCGGTGAGTCATCACCTGGCCGTGATGCGAGATGCCGGGCTACTTGTTTGCCGCCGCGATGGCAAACACAACTTCTATCGCGTTGTCTCAGGCCGTTTCCAACTGATCATCGATCAGTTCTTCAACGAAGTGCCAGAGCCACAGCGTAAAATTCGTTTTGAGAATTACGTACTCTCCTACGAACCGACGGCCGATGTGCCTCAAACTGTGTGACTCGCAGTGATGCGACTGCAGGTCAACTAACTTAGGCTCGACACGTACGTCTTCAGAGCACCGGACAGGGAATTCGTACAAAAATCGTATCGATCGCCCAAATCGCGGCCCATTCTGGTGCGTACTCGTTCCAGGATGAGGCCGCGGTTTGGCGTCCAAACACACAGACTCCGCAGTCGCTTAGCAGTTTAGTACTGGGCATTCACCAGCCGGCGGGAAAGCTCATCGACTAAATCCGCCCCCAGCATCTTGGTCAGCCGGTCTTGAGTATCGTCACCGCCCCCGCCGTTGTTCCCACGAGTAAGCAACTGCCGCATCTGAACCATCAACGGGGTGCTGGCCAAGGGGTAATCGATGGCAATCGCGGTGCGTTCGCCATCGGAGTTTTGATAAGCCACCGCCAGAACCGTGGCCGGCACCACGCGCTCTCCATCGCGTGCGATGGGTAACTCCACGAAGCGAATCGCCACTGGACGCCCCATCGAGTTGCCTTCTTCAGTTAGCCACACCCGCGTCGCTCCCGAATCGCTTAAGTTATCGCCAAAAAACTCAACCGCGTAGCGACCGTCTACCTTGGTCAGCACGGCGATCACTTTGCTGAAGAACACTCGAGCACCACCCAACTCGTCGGGCGGGTTATAAGTATCGATCAAGCTGCCCGGCTCTAAATCTTGGGAGAAATCCTCGCTCGTTACTTCCCGCGTAGCACCAATACGGTCGACCTGCCATCCCTGACGATCTTTACTCACTCGCAGCACATCCAGCTCACCAGTATCTGAATCCTCCGGCACGTAGAGAGCGGCCATCGTGCGACGCGATTCCAAAGGGCCGACCTGCACGTCGATCCATTCCAGATGAAGGTCGCCGGTCAGGCGGTCGATGTTCTTCGGAAAGGGAAACGCCTCGGCGTAGGGCAGCTTTCGAGCACGTCGCCCTAGCTCGATCGTTTCATCCTCGGGCGTCTCTTGGGCACGGGTGAGATAACCTGCCCCCGACCACGGCACCTCCTCGAGCACGAAGTAGTAGTTCGGCTCGAGATCTAGCGGAGCATCGGGATCGGCAAAGGCGTCGGTCGACTGACGAATGTAAGCGGTCTCGTCCCCAACCTCGTGCGGCTCGACGGGCAAGGCTTTCCAGCCGCGGTCGGCAGTTTCTTCGACAATGACGATCCCGTCGTCGTCTGTCACGACCACCGCCTCGTCTTCCACCACAATCGCCGGCTCATCCGCATCGGCAGTGCTCACTGAGAAAGCGCCACTGTAAAGGGCAAAGATCATGCATGCTTGAACGAGGGAACTAACGCGATATCGAGAGAAGTCCATGCGGGACTGCCTTTCAAATCAGATCAAATTGAGGCTGATGGCAGGATGCTTTTCGCACCGTCACGCTGAGGGGATGTGACGGCCCCCACAATCAAACCAGGGTGTCTTGCGAATATACGTATTCTGGACAGCAAGCGGGCCGCAGTCCACAATGGCCCCTTACATCAAGAAATCCGGTGGTCGAAGGCCTTGGGCTTCGCCACCTAGAGAGATGAGCCGAAAGGGTGTTGGGAATGCGTTTTAGCCTAGTTCTATTGGTACTTGCTTCGTTCATTATAGACAGCCGCCCGAGCGCTGCGGAGCAACCGATATGGATGGCTAAGGTGCTACGCGAGCTTCCCCGGGGCGAAGCCGCAATCGCGGAAGCCCACGAAAAAAGCCGTGACGCTGCCGTCCAAATCGCCGCCGGCGATCCCCTGGAAATCACCAATTTCGAGGGCGAAACCTCTTACAGCGTGACGATCGCCGGCAAGAAACGCGAGCTGCCCTACACCTACTCTCGCCTGGGTGCCCTGACCTACGGCATGCAACTCACCCCCGAGGATGAGGCTAACCTTCCGTCCGTCAGCAAGAGTCGCATCCTCAGCAAAGTGAACGGCAACTACATCTCGCTCCAACTCCGCGTTCAACGAGATGAATCGACCGGAAATGTGTACCTGTACTACAAGCCCTTCGCGCTGGTGGGGGCTTACGACAACCAAGAGCGGTCCCAGGAGTTTTCGCCTTTGATGGAAGACTCGGTCCGCGACGTCCGCGGCATTGGGCTGTTCGTCAAACCAGGCACAACGCCTTCGGCCGAGGCGTTCCGAACCTTCGTAGCGATCAACAAGAACACCATCACCGTCGACAACGGCTCAGCGGAACCGGCCTTGGAACCACATTACGAATTCTTCTTTGGGCGTCTCCGCGTCGAAGGCGATGACGTTCAGCTGCATGTGTTTGGCACCACAGAATACCGCAAGAAACTGAACTACATGAACGCCTACCAGGCACCCGCGACGCGTGAAGAATGCACCATGCTCAGCACGATCTTCTTCACCGACTACACGCTGGCCAAGCAATCCCCATCGGCGAAAGCCGCCCGCGAGGTTTTGATCAAGCGCCAGGCTCAAGTATCACTCGATCAAGCGAATGAGTACGCCAAGAGCCAGGGGCTTGAAGGCGACGCGTGGGATAACCTGACGGAAATCCTTGATGCGATGATCGACGGGCAGTTGCAATAAGCATCGTCCAGAATCGCAAGGCCGCCACTTGCGGTGAATAAGAATCTAACGCCTCATGAGCACGCCCGAGCAAGTCCGGCATCGTCCTCCTACGCCGCTCGAGCGTCCCCGCGAGTTGATCGTTGCCTGCGAACCCATGCGGAGCAATGTAAATCTCTCACGCATCGTCCGCGCCGCCGGGTGCTGCGGTGTAAGGCGGATGATCTGCTGCGGCACGGCCAAGATCCGCGACAAGATCGCTCGCGACGGCGCCGATTACGTCGAGATCGAGGTTCACCGCACACTGCCCGCCACGTTGGTAAAGCTGCGGGCCGAGGGCTACCAGATCGTGGGGCTCGAGCAAACGACCCATTCCGAGTCGCTATATACATACGCGTGGACTCTCAAGAGTGTGCTCGTGCTTGGCAACGAGCGGCGAGGATTAGACCCCGAGGTGCTCAAGCTGCTCGACGCAGCCGTTGAGATTCCGGTTTACGGGCAGCCTTTCAGCCACAATGTGGCCACCGCCGGGGCTATGGCCCTCTATGAGTACTGCCGGCAATTTCCAGTGGGATAGAAATAGACCGAAATTCCCCTCCAATAGTCCCATCTTTTCAGAAACTCGGGCACCGGTGCCGCCAAGGGTTGACGACTCCGGAGGCTAGTTTATGCTTCATGGGTTTGGCCCCCCGTGGGTGGGGTAGCCGGCACAGAGCAAACCTTTTCGACGCGTCATGTCGAAGCAGCCGGGCAACCGCCGGCTTGCCTGGGTCTGAGCACCAAGTCGCTACGACATCTTCGCAATTAGCTCGATTCTCAACACCATCGCTCGAAGGCATTGCCCGGGCGACCTGAAACATTCTGGAGAGGGATAACCGTGGCTGGTACCTGCGTTATCGGTTTGCAGTGGGGCGATGAAGCCAAAGGGAAAATCGTCGACCTGCTGACCGAAGATCACGAGATTGTGGTCCGCAGCCTGGGCGGATCGAACGCAGGGCATACGGTCGTAACCGGTGGGCAAACCTACAAGCTCTCGCTCATCCCCAGCGGCATCTTGTACCCCAATGTGCAATGCGTGGTTACCGGGGGCGTGGTGATCAACCCGGAATCGATTCTGGGTGAAATCGATCAGCTAGCCGAACGCGGAGTGCACATCGGCGACAACCTGATGATCAGCAATCGGGCGCATGTCATCTTCCCCTGGCACCTAGAAGAGGAACGCCTGATCAATGCCCCCGTGGCCGACGGAGAATCAATCGGCACAACCAACCGTGGTATCGGTCCTTGCTACCGTGACAAAGTCGGCCGATCGCATGCCATCCGTTTGGGCGACCTGTACCGTGACGGACTCAAGAAAGAAATCGAACGGATCCTAAAAGACAAACGTGCCATGCTGGCCGAACTGCCCGGGCAAAGTAACGGCCAAGCCTTGGATGCCGAAAAGATTTTCACCGAATATACCGCCCACGCCGAGCGACTTCGCCCGCATGTGACCGATACCACCAGCTACCTGCTCGACGCACTCGAGGCCGACAAGCCCGTGTTGTTCGAAGGTGCTCAGGGAGCCCTGCTGGACATCGATCATGGAACCTTCCCCTTCGTAACCAGCAGCAATAGCTCGGGGGTGGGCATTAGCTGCGGATCGGGAGTTCCTGGTCGGTACATGAAGCAGATCATCGGTGTGGTGAAAGCCTATACGACTCGCGTCGGCGGGGGCCCCTTCCCCACCGAACAAGACAACGAAATTGGGCAACGCATCCGCGATGTCGGCAACGAATACGGTACCGTCACCCGGCGTCCTCGACGCTGCGGATGGTTCGATGCCGTGGCAGCTCGCTACACCGCCCGACTCAGCGGAGTCGACTGCCTGGCCGTGATGCTGCTCGACGTTCTGAGCGGAATGCCCGAGTTGCAGATTTGCACGGCCTACGAAATCGACGGAGAACGCGTCACCGCCTTCCCGGCCCATGTCGACGATCTCCGTAAGGCCGTCGCGGTCTACGAGACGATCCCCGGCTGGGAAGAGGACATCACCGGCGTTCGCAAAATGGAAGACTTGCCGAAGAATGCACGGAAGTATTTAGACCGCATTGGCGAAGTCGTTGGTCGTCCCGTAGAAATCGTGTCGGTGGGGCCCGATCGAGAGCAAACCATCTTCGCTGCTGGCCGCCCCACGGTGGCGGGGGCTTCGAATTAGGACCTGGACGTCCCGCGATCGTACAATAGGATCGGTAGCTTTCCTTCACGGTTGGAGACCTGAATCTTGTCGAACCCCTCCGTGGCGCAATCCGACGAATTGGCCGACGTGCCAACCGAGGCCCGCCCCAAACACATCGCCATCATCATGGATGGCAACGGTCGCTGGGCGCAGGACCAGGGTCTACCCCGCATCGAAGGACACCGCCGTGGCGTAAAGGCCGTTCGTACGGTAACCGAGCAATGTGCCCAACTGGGAATCGAGCACCTCACGCTGTACTGCTTCTCGAGCGAGAACTGGAAACGCCCGCAAGCCGAACTCGACGCCCTGATGAGCTTGCTGGAGCAGTTCATGATCGAAGAACGCTCCGAAATCCTCCGGGAGAATATCCGGCTTACTGTGATCGGTCGCCGAGACGGCATCCCCGAGAGTGTGCTCGAAGAAACCGACAAGACCGTGGCCCTCAGCAGCGAAAACACCGGGCTGCACCTTTGCTTGGCCATCAACTACGGCGGCCGCGGCGAGTTGGTCGATGCGATGCAGAGTCTCGCCGCGGAGGTGCGAGAGGGTCGATTGAACCCTGAAGACATCGATGAAGACACGATCGCCGAGGCCCTCTACACGGCCGGCACTCCCGACCCCGACCTGATGATTCGTACGGCGGGAGAACTACGAATCAGCAACTACTTGCTATGGCAACTCAGTTACTCTGAACTCTGGGTGACCAAACGTCGCTGGCCCGAGTTCGGCCGCGAAGAGCTTCATCAGGCAATTCGTGACTTTGCCGCCCGCGATCGACGGTTCGGGGGGTTGAACGCGTAATCATGCTGCGATGGCGTTTGCTTCTTGGCGTGATCTTCGCCGCTGTCCTCTCCACTTGGTTATGGTTCGACCATACCTATGAGGGCTCGATCCCAGGGATGCACCTCATCCCTTTGCTCATCGCACTCGCGATTTTGGCCGCAGGAGAAACGATCCGGCTGCTCTCGACAGATCGCTTCCATCCTTCACCGGCCGTGGTTTACACAGGCAGTCTGGCCATCTCCGTCAGCCCCTGGTTGGCTTACATCTGGCCCGACACAACATTGGGTACTCTTGGCTGGCCGATGCTGGTTATCGGTCTCGTATTTGTGGGGGCAACCGCTGAAGCCGTGGTTCGCTATCAACGTGAAACTCAGGCGGCGATTCAGTTGGCGGTCACGCTGTTCGCAGTGATGTATGTTGGCCTGCTGTTGAGCTTCGTGGTGCAGTTGCGATTGATCGACGATGGCGCGCTCGGCGTGATCCCAATTTTGGCGCTGATCATTGTGGTGAAGATGAGCGACATTGGGGCCTACACCGTCGGGCGGTTGATCGGCAAACACAAACTGGCCCCAGCCCTGAGTCCTGGAAAAACTATCGAAGGCCTTGCCGGTGGCGTGGCGTTCGCTTGCCTGGCTTCGTGGCTTGTGTGGCTTACGCTCAGTGCCGGTTATGGCAATATGCCAGGCGAACTGTGCCTGGGCATGTGGATGCTCTTCGCAGCTGCGGTTGCCCTGGTCGGCGTGGTGGGCGACTTGGCCGAATCGATGCTGAAACGCGACGCAGGCGTGAAAGATTCCAGCACCTGGATGCCCGGTTTCGGGGGCGTCCTCGACTTGTTGGATTCGATTCTCATCTCTGCCCCGGTGGGCTACGTTTTTTGGGCCACGGGCCTGCTTCACGGATGAATGTTGAGAACTGCCTGAATTGCGATCTGGCGGGCTTCAGCCCAAAGAATTTGAAATCCCGCAACCTACTATTTCACAATGGGTTGCGCGGCATTTCGCCAGACTAGTAGTGCTCGCGGGGCCAATTTCGCTATAAAGTTGAATTGCATTATCCCATCAGGACCACCCAGCGCGGCCGAGAGTGCCTCGCTCAACTGGATGTTCAGATCCACCATATCGGTTGTCGATTCCGAATCGCTGACGTCACTCTTCGGAGCACACGATCAGCATCTAAGGAAAATCCGCGAAGCGCTCAGCGTGAATATTTCGATGCGCGGTGACGAAATCCAGATTGAAGGCGAAGAAAACGTCGTTGCGCAGGCAACCGAGGTGCTGACCGAGCTGAACAAGCTGGTTCAGCGACACGGTTCCTTCGAGCCCGAGGAAGTCACTCGCCTGTTGGCCACCGTTCGTGGCGAACCCGCTCCGCCGAACTCACCCGAGCTGGGCGTTCAAGCAGCAGGGCGAAAACTGGTTCCCCGCACCGATGGCCAAGCCCGCTATCTCAGGGCCATCCACGAGCACGAGCTTGTCTTCTGTGTGGGTCCCGCCGGCTGCGGAAAGACATATCTGGCCGTGGCTTCAGCCGTGGCGGCTTTACGTCGTCGCGAAGTTCGCAAGATTGTGCTGGTTCGTCCCGCGGTCGAAGCTGGCGAAAACTTGGGCTATCTGCCCGGCGACTTACAGGCAAAAATCAATCCCTACCTGCGTCCGCTGCTCGATGCATTGCAAGAGATGATGGACAGTGACCAGGTGAAGAAGTACACCGAGCAGGACATCATCGAAGTCGTCCCCTTGGCCTACATGCGCGGTCGCACACTCAACCGGTCGTTCATTATTCTGGACGAAGCCCAGAACACCACAACCGCTCAGATGAAGATGTTCCTCACCCGGATGGGACACGAGTCGAAGATCGTGGTTTCCGGCGACGTCACCCAAGTCGACCTGCCGCATCACGCCCGCAGTGGGCTCATCGATGCTATCGCTCGTCTGCAAGGAATTCGCGGGGTTGCTCGCGTTGAGTTGACAGGGGCAGACATTGTCCGCCATCGTCTCGTCACTGAAATCGTTCAGGCATATGAGGAGAAGTCGAAGAAGCGGCGCTAACGTCCGCTGTTGATACCATGTCTACCGGTGGAGCAAAGAGAACGAGGTCCGCACGAGTCGCCGCGCTGGAATTGCCTCCCAGCCGTACGGCTCGGGCGCTCGGCCAACTGCGGCGTTCAACGTCGCTGGCCAGGCTCGGAATGGCCATGGTGGCCATCGTCGTGCTCTGGGTGGTGATGCGAGGCTGGGCTCCTCCCTTCTCGTATCACGTTGGATATGTCCCCCATCGCGAACTCACCGCCCGAGTTTCGTTTGAAAAGTTCAATCCCGACGCCACCCGCGACATGCAACAGGCGGCCCGCCGACGGGCTCGCTTCGTGTACGATCAAGATCCTGAGCCGCTCATCCAGCTTCGCAGCGCGTTGGTGAATCAGGTCTTGGCAGTTACGAACGCCCCGTCGCTGAAGGATTTGGCCGACGACGTCTGGAACCAGTTCGATCCCCCTCCGGCCGACGCAGCCAACCAACCCACCGAAGCAGAGCGGGAAGAGCGATTCCAACAGTTTCGTGCCGCACTTACCGGCCAAGACGCAATGACCGCCTTCGAGAAGGCACTCGAAAGCTCCTTCCAGAAGTACGAGCGTATCGGTCTGCTCGACCAGCTTCCCCCGGAGCATTCCGGTGAGGGCAATCAAGACGAGATCACGGTCATCAACCTGAAGGATCCCAAAGATCCGCTCACGGTCAAAGTAACCGACGTGCTGATCGGTGACGGTAGCCCGATCTACGCCAGCCTGCTCAGCAAGATCAAGCCGGCCGAAGTGGCCGATCGGGTATTCGCCTGGCTCAAGCCACGGCTGCCCACCACACTAAAACTGGATATCGAAGCCACGGAACGTGCCCGCGAGGCGGCGGCCGAAGCCGTGGAGCGGCAGTTCGTCACTTACGACCCAGGTCGTGTGCTGGCTGGTGCTAAGGATCCGCTCAGCAAAGAAGAACTCGATGTCTTGAGGCTCGAATATATCGCCTATTGCGCTCAGCTCTCGACCACGGAACTGCTGACCCGGTCGGTCGCCACTTTGGGCCTCATCTCCGGCGTCTTTATCTTATGCGGCTACTTCATCCTTCGCCGTGCCCATTACATCCTCGAAACTTGGCGGCAGTACTCCCTACTGCTTGGCTTCGTCGTCGGCTCGGTCGCCCTGGCTTGCTGGATATCCCAAGATCCCTGGCGAGCGGAGATTCTGCCACTGTTGTTCTTAGGCATGACCTTCGCCGTCGCGTACGGTCGCGAAACAGCATTGCTGCTCTCGGCGGCCGTGTCCTTACTTATGGTGTTGGCCATCGACCAGAGCCTGGGGACCTTCATGATCCTGGGCGGCTCGGTGGCGTCTGCCGTGCTATTGCTGGCTCGTATTCGCAGCCGAAGCAAGCTAATTAAGGTCGGCGGACTTGCGGCCCTCGCCGCCGCCACACTCACTTTGATCGCCGGCATCATCCTGGGCCAACCGCTTCAAGAACCACTCTGGCGTCTGGCCGGGTTTAACGCCTTATGGGCTTTAGGAGCAGCCCTGCTCAACTTCGGCCTGCTCACGGTGATCGAGAGTGTATTCGGCGTGGTCACCGATCTGACGCTGCTCGAGTTGGGTGATGTTTCACTTCCGCTTCTGCAAGAACTAGTTCGCCGTGCCCCGGGAACTTATAACCACTCAATCAACGTGGCCTCAATTGGCGAGGCTGCCGCCGATAGCATCGGCGCCAACGGTCTGCTGGTTCGCGTTGGGGCCTACTACCACGACATCGGGAAGATGTTCAACCCAGGGTACTTCATCGAGAATCAGGGCGAAGCCGAGAACCGGCACGAGTCGCTGATGCCGGCCATGAGCACCCTGATCATCATCGCGCACATCAAAGATGGTGCCGACCTGGCAAGACAGCACCATCTACCCCAGGCCCTCATCGATTTCATCATGCAACACCACGGCACTACGCTGGTGGCCTACTTCTACAATCGTGCCCACCAAGAGAGCGCCGACAACCCCGACGCCGCCGAAGTGGACGAGGCGGCGTTCCGCTACCCGGGCCCCAAGCCTCAAAGCCCCGAAACGGCCATCCTGATGCTGGCTGATGGCGTCGAAAGTGCCAGCCGGGTGCTCACCGAACCGACCCCCGCCCGCATCGACAGCCTGGTACGCGAAATCGCCATGAAGCGATTGCTTGATGGGCAGTTCGATGAAAGTGGACTGAACTTGAAGCAGCTTCGCACGATCGAAGACAGTTTGATCAAGTCGCTCACGGCCGTATACCATGGCCGTGTGAAGTACCCCGATGCTGCGTCACAACGAACCGCATGAACCGCACCACACGATCCACAATGAATGAAGAGCTGGTGACCATTAAGCTCACGCGCACCATCTACTTGCAAAGCCTGGACTGCCTGCGATGATCGAGATCCAAATCGCCAATCGCCAGGACGTGCTTCAATTCGATCCCGCTCGCTTAGAAGCGTGCGCCCTCAAGATTCTGCAGGCGGAAGGCCCTGAGAATTGCGAGTTGAGCCTAGCCGTGGTCGACGACGAGACCATCCACCAGGTGAACCGCGATTTCCTCGAGCACGATTATCCCACCGACGTGATCAGCTTCGTGCTCGATCAATCGGATGGCACGCTCGAAGGCGAAATCGTGGCCAGTGCCGAAACGGCAATTGCCGAAGCGGCCCGGTACGGTTGGAACCCCGAAGATGAACTGCTGTTGTACATCACTCACGGCACATTGCATCTGGTGGGGTACGACGACCAAACTCCCGAAGCGAAGGCCGAGATGCGCAAGCGCGAACGGCATTACCTCGCTGAATTCGGACTTACTCCCCCACAGATAGAATTGGAATCAAAACCACACAAATCGCATCGTCCCGGCGATGATCCGATTGTGAATGCAGGAGCAACGCAGAGGTGAACCCCTCCTGGTGGCTGGCACTGTCCGCCTTAACGATTACAGCCTTCTGTGCCTTAGGCGCGAAATCGCTACGCAGTTTCTCGCGTCGCGAGCTGGCCGAAATCTGTCGCCGCAACCAGGCCGAAGGCCGGTTAGCAGACATCTTGCTACATCATGAACGCGTTGCATTGGCCATCGAGAGCCTGCAGCTCATTGCCACGGCCGTCTTTATCTGCGGTGCCGTATCGGCCATCTGGACCAACCGAGGCGAAATCCCTCACACCGGCCAACTCTTGTTCTGGGGAACCGTCGGCGGACTGGTTCTTTTGTTGTTCGTTCTGTGGCTACCCGTAACGATCGCCCGCCTGTGGGCCGAACCGTTTCTGTTCGCAACTTGGCGAATCTGGCAAGTAGTGGCCGTCCCGATCGCGCCCCTGGTTATCGGCGCCCGCATGATCGACGTTCTGGGTCACCGCCTGGTTGGGAAAGAGCCTTCGGTCGACACCGAAGAGACCATCGAGAACGAAATCCGCTCGATCGTCGATGAAGGCCACCGCGAAGGACTCATCGAAGAAGACGCGAGAGAAATGATCGAGGGCATCATCGAACTGGGCGACGCCGATGTGGCCCATGTGATGACGCCCCGTACCGACCTGGTAACGATGTCGGCCGCCTCCGATCTGCCCACGGCCTTGCAAACCATCATTGACTCGGGTCATACCCGAATTCCCGTCTTCGACAAGAACCGCGACGATATCGTTGGGATCATCTACGCCAAAGATCTGCTCCCCGAACTGGCCAAACCAACCGAAGAGCGAATCAAGCAGGTCCGCAAAATCACTCGCGATGCCTACTTCGTGCCCGAAACAAAACCGGTCGATGCCCTGCTGAACGAGTTCCAACTCACCGGTAATCATATGGCGGTGGTGCTCGACGAATACGGCGGTGTCTCGGGCGTAGTAACTATTGAAGACGTGCTCGAGGAGATCGTCGGCGAAATCGTAGACGAGTACGACGAAGCCCTGGTCGAGGGGATTCGAAAGATCGACGAACAGTCTGCCAACGTGTTGGCCCGCGTTCATGTCGACGAGATCAACGACCGGCTAGGAACCAACATCGACGAAGACGGCGATTTCGATACCATTGGGGGATACGTCTTCAGCACCTTGGGCCGAGTACCCTCGGTGGGCGATATGGTCGATGCCGACAACGGCAACGTCCGCATCAGTGTCGTCGAGGTGTCGAAGCGGCGAATCGAAAAAGTGAAAGTCGAGATTCTCGGCCAGGTCGAACGCCCCCGAGCATAACCGGCGGCCAGCTTGAAATCGGCGGCGGGCTTCCACCGCTGGATTGGCTCATCACGAAGTTCGCTTCCTTCACCGCAACCCCCCTGAACCGCTTCATTGAAAGCAGTCGTTCGATTGCCAGCATAGCAGGTATGCATCCAGCCTCATGTCATCCGAAAAGGCCACCGCGCTCGTTCTTCGTGTTGTCGATTTCAGCGAATCGAGCAGCGTGGTTACCTTGTTCACCCGAGAGTTTGGAAAAATAAGCGGACTGGCGAAGGGGGCCAAACGGCCTAAAGGGGCTTTCGACTCTGCCCTTGACCTTCTTTGCACGTGTCGAGTAGTGTTCCTCCGCAAATCAAGCGAGGCGCTCGACCTATTGACCGAAGCAAAGCTCATCCGCCGCTTTCGGTTATGCGACAAAAACCTGTCCCGTCTCTATGCAGGTTACTACGTCGCCGAGTTGCTGCTCGAGCTTACCGACGAATACGATGCTCATCCCGAACTCTTCGATAACGCCGAGCGTACGCTATTGCGATTGGGCAGCGGTCCTTCCGTGGGTACCGCAATCGCTCAATTCGAAATGGCGGCGCTGCAGATACTAGGACACCACCCATCACTCGAACAATGTGCAGATTGTGGGAGTGAAATCCGCCCCCACGGTCGCATCCCCTTCGCGCAAACCGCCGGGGGTGTGCTATGCCCGCGCTGCCGACCGCGCCACAGCCAAGTGGTTCAGGTCAGCACAGCGGTGATTGAAGTTTTGAAACAACTGGCAAACGCCGATAACGAAGCACTGGACACCGTGAAAATCGAGCGCCGATCAGGCGGAGAGCTTCGCGGAGTGTTGAACCATTACATGACACAGTTGCTGGGCCGTCCGCCTCGCATGCAACGCTACTTAGTCGCCCCCACAAGCAACCATGACGATGCTGGCAAGGATGCCGCGAATGAGCCATAACCGATCGATTCTGGCCGCCGCTACGCTGCTGGCGATGCTGACTCAGACCGGTTGTTCGAGCTTCTTCGGAGGCTCCAAGAACGATCCGTTAGCTGCCACTGGTGGTCCTACCGCCGGGCAGATGGCCGGTGCGCAAGCGCTGCCTCCACCGCAATCTCGACCGGGCCGTGCTCGCATGGGTGTGGCCGGAGAACGATTCCGCAGGGAACCCAATCGCGACGGGCTACTCGGCTGGTTGCCCAAGCCTTCGGAAGTGACCGCCGACGCCAAAGAGAAAGTCGGACTGGGCCCCGATGCCAAGGAAGCCGAAGCCCTCTTCACCGAGGCCGACGCCCTCTATCAGGCGGGCGACTACAAGGAAGCCAGGAAGCTCTATAAAAAGGCCGGCGATACCTGGCCCGATTCGTCGCTCGAAGAAGACTCGATGTTCATGGCGGCCGAATGCGAGTTCTTCCTCGATGAATATCCCGACGCAAGCGACCACTACGCCAACCTGCTAAAGAAGTACGAAAACTCCCGACACCTCGATGTGGTCGTCTCGCGGCAGTTTTCCATCGCCCGGTATTGGCTCGAACTGCAAGAGACCGATCACCAGCCGTTGCTCGTGCCGAACCTGACGAATGGCACTAAACCCTGGTGGGATACCACAGGCAATGCCCACGCGGTGATGCAAAGCGTGTGGATCAACGACCCCACCGGGCCCTTGGCCGACGACAGTGTCTTAGCCACCGCCAACGACTACTTCGTCAACGGACGTTTTAAAGACGCAGACGAATACTACGAACAGTTGCGTCAGGATTATCCCAAGAGCGAGCACTTGGCCAACGCGTTTCTGCTTGGCATTCAGGCCAAACTGGCCACCTATCAGGGTCCCGACTACGACCCGACTCCGCTGCTTGAGTCGGAGAAGTTGGTCGAACAGGCCCTGCTGCAGTTCCCCACACAACTGGCGGGCGAACGCGAGCGGATTCTCGAAACCAGAAAGAAGATTCTTTACCTCAAAGCTGAACGCGACATGTTCATGGGCGATTTCTACGCCAAGAAGAAATACTATCGATCGGCCGCACGCTATCACCAGCGCGTGATCAAAGATTACCCACAGACCCAATTGGCGTCTGAGGCGGAAACGAAACTGGCCTCCTACGCAGGAGAGCCCGGCGTGCCGGAAAACCGTTTCGACTGGCTTGTGAACTTGTTCCCCGGGGAGCAAGAGCGACGGGACGAGAAGACAATCCCCACGGCTACGGCCCAAATCCCTGGTGATCCCCCGAGGTAATTTCGTGGCACCCAGCGGAAAGCTCTCATCCCACAAGCGAACCTACTTCGGTATGGCCACCCTGGTCGCCATGACCTGCGCTTCGCTTATGGGCTGCGCTGGCTACCGCTTTGGGGCGGCCTCGCTTTACCCCCCTGAAATTCGCACGGTTCATGTGCCTATTTTCGAATCAAACAGCTACCGCCGTAATCTTGGCGAATGGTTGACCGAAGCTGTCATTCGGGAGATCGAACTTAAGACGCCCTACAAGGTCGTTTCTCACCCCAACGCAGACAGCGTTCTCACCGGCACGATCATCGCCGATACGAAGCGAATTCTGGTCGTTTCTCCGACTGACGAACCCCGCGAAACTGAAATGCGGATGGAAGTGCAGGTTAGCTGGGTCGATCGCCGCGGCAATGTTCTTCGCGAACGGGCGGGCGTTCCGATTCCGCCCGAATTGATCGACGTCGCCGGAACCGGATCAATCGTGCCGGAGTTTGGTCAATCGGTCGTCACGGCTCAGCAAGACTCCATCGAACAGCTCGCACAGCAGATCGTTTCGCTGATGGAAGCGCCGTGGTAAGTTGAGGAAGACAGCCGGCCCCCTGGTATTCGAACATTCGACTATGCCAGTGTAGGCTATGCCCCAACAATCCTGCAGCAAGTTGTTCCGTGTCTCCACCGCCCGATTCCCGTCTGCTATCTCAGCGATTTCCGAACCGCGCCACTCGCTGGCAACTCCGCCAGGTAACGCTTTCACTCCCCCGCCAGCCGCTGCTGATGGGTATTGTGAATGTGACGCCCGATAGCTTCTCCGACGGTGGCAAGTTCTTCTCCACCCAAAGCGCCGTCGAGCATGGCCTACGGCTGGTGGCCGAGGGGGCCGATATCCTGGACGTCGGTGGTGAGAGCACCCGTCCCTACTCAACCCCGGTAGAAGAACGCGAAGAGCTAAACCGCGTCCTGCCCGTGATCGAAGCCCTGAGCCGAATTACGGACATCCCTGTCTCCATCGATACGTCGAAAGCGTTGGTCGCCCGAGAGGCCATGGCCGCGGGAGCCGAAATCATCAACGACGTGACCGCCCTCACCGGCGACCCCAAAATGCTCGACGTCGCGCGGGAGACAGAAGCGGGGCTGTGTGCGATGCACATGCAAGGCACTCCCCAAACCATGCAGGACAACCCGCAGTACGAAGACGTCACCGAAGACATCTTCACCTACCTAGTCGCTCAGCTCCAGCGGCTACAAGCCGCCGGAATCGCACCGCAGAGGATCGCGCTCGACCCCGGGATCGGCTTCGGCAAGACTCACAACGACAACCTCACCTTGCTGGCCCAGGCTGGCCGCTATCACGAACTCGGATGCCCGTTGTTGTTTGGCCCCTCGCGTAAGGGCTTCATCGGCAAGGTGTTGGGCGACAAGTCGATTGACCCACTGTTCGGTACCCTTGCCGTCGTGCTGGCGTTAGCCGTCCAGGGGGTGCAGATCATCCGCATTCACGACGTTGGGCCGGTGCGGCAAGCCCTACAACTCTTCGAAGCCTCCGGTGGAATCGACGGAACTCCGCTCACGCTGGGGTGACCACCCGTCTCCTGCGGCACCATAACTATTGTGATAGTATGAAGTTCTCCACCCTCGGTCCTGCCGCGTGCAAGCGGGATCGGAATTGACGTCACCCGGCAGAAGCTGGATACTCCGCTGTTCGGAGAGATCCAGTTGCGGTGAACCTTCGCTAGCTGCCCTGCGTCGATTACTTAGGGGTCTCTCACAAATCTTGGAATCCACATCGTAAGGTTGGCTTCATGTCCGTAGCCAAAGACCACGACCTCGAGCAATATTGCGTCGACACGGCAAAGCGTGCGCTGAAAGCCTCCGCGCGTTTGGCCACGGTCAGTGGTCAGCAGAAAATCGATTGGCTTACCCGCACGGCCGCTCTCCTGCGTGAGAAGACCGACGAAATCGTGACCGTCAATCAGCAGGACCTGGAAGCCGCACCTGGCTTCGGCCTTACCGATGCAGCCATCGACCGCCTGCGGCTCACCCCCGATCGAATCGAAGGCGTCGCTGTCGCTCTGGAAGAAATCGCGGCTCTGCAAGACCCCATCGGCGAAGTCATCGAATCAACCGTGCGACCCAACGGGCTCGATATCCAGAAAGTCCGCGTTCCCCTGGGGGTCGTCTTTTTCATCTACGAGTCGCGTCCCAATGTGACGGCCGATGCCGCGGCTCTGTGCGTGAAGAGCGGGAACGCCGTCATCCTTCGCGGCGGGAAAGAAGCCGCCCATTCGAATCGCGTTCTGGCCGACATCCTCAGCGAGACGCTTACCGAATTCGGCCTGCCTGAAGACGCCGTGCAACTGGTGAACACCCCCGACCGTGAGGCGGTCGGTCACTTCCTTAAGCTCGACCAGTACATTAACGTCACCATCCCTCGGGGTGGCGAAAGCCTGATTCGCCGCGTTGCAGAAGAAGCACGCATGCCGGTCATCAAACACTACGATGGCAACTGCCACGTGTATGTTGATCACGCTGCCGATCTCGACATGGCCACCGACATTACATTGAACTCGAAGTGCCAACGCTATGGCGTGTGCAATGCGGCCGAGTCGCTGCTGGTGCATGCCGACGTAGCGGCCGAATTTCTGCCAAGCATCGGCAAAGCTCTGAAACAACAAGATGTCGAAGTGCGAGGCGACGCGCGGACTTGCGAGTTGATCGAAGGTGCCAAGGAAGCCACCGACGAAGACTATCGTGCGGAGTTCCTGGCCCCCATCATTTCCGTGAAAGTGGTCGGCTCGCTCGAGGAAGCGATTGAGCACATCAATCAATACAGTTCGCACCACACCGAAGCGATAATCACAAAAGACCTGAACGCCGCACGGGCGTTCTCAGCAGGTGTCGACAGTTCGGCGGTGATGATTAACGCCAGCACCCGTTTTAACGACGGCGGCCAGTTCGGGCTGGGTGCCGAAATCGGAATCAGCACCGACAAGCTACATGCTCGCGGCCCCTGCGGCCTTAAAGAACTTACCAGCTACAAGTACGTCTGTTACGGCACAGGGCAAATTCGAACCTAGGCCCTCCGTCATGGAATGACGCGAGGCCAGCTCAACCGCCGAAGAAAGACGTAGGAGACAAGGATGTCAGACGACGTACTCAGCCAGGCAGAAGTCGAAAGCCTGCTTAGCGCCGTAGGTGGCGGTGGCGGCGAGTCCGGCGGAGGCTCGTCCGAGACTCAGAAGAAGGCAGCCCCCTCCGCACCACGCATTCGCGAGAAAGTCACCGCCTACGACTTCAAACGGCCCGAACGTGTCGGCAAAGAGCAAATGCGGGCCCTGCAAACCCTGCACGAGGGGTTCGGCCGCAACTTCGGGGCTGCACTTTCGGCTCTGCTGCGAAGCATCGTCGAAGTCAAGCTCACCAGCGTCGATCAATTAACGTACAGCGAGTTCGTCTTCAGCCTCGAAAATCCAACGTGCTTTAACCTGCTGGCTGCCGAACCGTTGGAAGGCAATCTGATCCTCGACTTCAATCCGTCGATCTTGTACCCGATCATCGATCGCCTCCTCGGCGGAGGTCGCGAAACGGCAGCCGTAACCCGGCGCCCACTCACCGAGATCGAACTGCGACTTGTCTCCCGTATCACCAAACTGTTCCTCGACGAACTGCGTCGAGCCTGGGAGAACGTGCTGGATCTGAAGCTTTCGGTCCTTCGAGTGGAAAGCAATCCGCACTTAGT